TTGAAGTGACTGGACTGACCTTGAGGGAGCTGGTGGTAACGGCCGACAGGGAGCTCTGGCGTGGGCTGGTCCATGAGGTCACGAAGAGTCGGAGACGACTGAACGAATGAACAACAACAACAACAGGCCAAAACATCTGGGGACCCACAGGTAGAGAACCACTGACCTATAGAGATGGGCTGATTCCTGGACCTGTGAAATACTAATTTTCAAATACTGTCCCTAGTACTTCACTTGCTAGGACTGGTCAGCTGATCAAGTAATTGTATCACCACTGTCAAGTCCTTTCAGTATGGACCCTAGACTATGGACAGTGTTAAAACCCCAAGAAAGCGCAGGGATACCCTCTGCAGTTACCTCCTAGTCCCTTGAATGCCAGAAGATGCATCAATAACGGTACAGCAGCTAGACAGCCCACAAAAAACAACAATATATTGTTGCTACTGTTATCAAGGAGGATTAGTGCTAGGCCAAAACGTAAAATAGAACCTAGGGAGGGTGAGATTCAAGAATCTATAATGCATAATGAATGAGACTTGGAGAGAGGCTGAGATGTAGCTACACTGTAAAATTAATGTATTCTGACACCACTTTAACCACTATGGCTCAATGCTATTGAATCATAGGAGCTGTAGTTTTATATCTTTATCTTATTCTGCCAAACAATGCTGCTGCCTCACCAAACTCTCAGAATTCCATAGCATTGAGCTACGCCCAAGTGGTGTCAAACTACAGTAATTCGATGGTGTAGAGCAGGCATGGGCAAACTTCGTCCCTCCAGGTGTTTTGGATTTCAACTCCCACAATTCATAACAGTCTTATTCCCCTTCTTTTCCCCCCTCAGCCTCTTAGAGAAAAGGAAGGGGCCTGAGGTTATTAGGAACTGTGGGAATTGAAGTCCAAGACACCTGGAGGGCCGAAGGTTGCCCATGCCTGGTGTAGATGAAGCCTTAGTAAGCAATGGTTTCTGAGATGAGTGTGACACAGCAGTATGATGGAAACTAAATCTTCTAAACATGAGACGTACAGGAATACATAGTGCTGATGAAGGTAAAAGTAATAGTGCAGCATTACTCTGAAGGTTATAAAAAAGAAAAGGTGAGGGAAGTTCTAAAAGGAAATGAAGGAGGTCCTAAAAAGTTGAGGCTCGGGAGATGGAATACGTGAAATAAAAAAGGTATAAAAAATCCAGTGTTTGAAAATCTTGGCTAACAGACACACAATGGTGACTTATCATCTGCTCTGAAAGAAGCCACATAGAAAGACACATAGGATACTGTGAACTTCAAAAGTATGACTGAAAACTTGAAAATATATAATGAAAGCCTGGAATCAAACCTTTCACAGCCCACTGACAACCTCTGGGGGAGGAAAAAAAACTATATAAAAGATGCACAGAATTTAACACATTACCTTACTGCTATTTCTTTCATGATCAGTGAGTTGGTTGTACCAAGGTTCATTCCACTTTTCTTCCGACTGCCAAGCATATTTCAATATTGTACTCACAATGGCTTCAACAAGGAGGATTATTAGATAGATAATCAAAAAGGAATTCATAGACCTGAGTAGACAACATTGACAGATGTGAATATAATGCATAAATAGGCATAACAACTGAAACTGCTCCATGGAAAGATTTCAAGCATAAGTTCCCCCAAATCTGCTCCAAGTAGCTCTTCAAAAACACCCTCTAATTCATGTTTGTGAGTGAAGTAGTTTCAACACCAAATAGCAATCACAGAATAATCTCAAAAACAAACCAACATCCCTCACATCAAGCAAAGCAAATAAAAGTACCCAGGACAAGTGAGTGATGATATAGACAATTCTAAAAGAATGTAACTTAGTTTCACAAGCAATTTGAGTTCCCCCAGGGGTGAGAAAGGCGGTATATAAATACTGTAAATAAATAAATTTTGTGTCTGATATATTTGGTTGAACAGTAAGTCATTATGGTATTACTGAGTACAGGAAAAAGATGGGCCATTTTGCTTTCTGTCTCTGGGCATCCCTTGAGACAAAATGTCTCTTTTCTGCAAGAAAGAGTGGATGCAAAATCAACAGAGGAATTTGCCAAAAGATCTATGTGCCTGTGAATGGGGTGTTTTATTAGGTAGGGAGTGATGCAAAGGATGGTAGGAGGTGATGGAAAGGAAATGGTTTGATAAGTAAACTCCCTCTGAGGATACAGGTCCGCAGTCTGGGGGTCCTCCTGGATTCGGCGCTGACACTTGAGACTCAGGTGTCAGTGGATGCCAGGAGGGTATTCGCATAGTTAAAACTTGTGCACCAGCTGCAACCATACCCCGAAAAGTCTAACTTGGCTTTAGTTACATCTAGATTGGACTACTTTAATGCACTCTAAGTGAGGCTGCCTTTGACTATGGCCCAAAAATTGCAATTAGTGCAAAGATCGGCTGCCAGATTTCTAACTGGGGCCAGTTATAGGGACCATACGATGCTCCTATTAAAACAGCTCCACTGGCTACTGATAAGGTTCCAGACTCAATTCAAAGTGCAGGTCATTACCTATAAAGGCCTATACGTTTCAGCCTATTTTTGAGACGCATCTCCTTCTATGAACCGCCATGGGCTTTGAGATCTGCCAGGGAGGCCCTTCTCTTGGTCCTGCCTCCGTCTCAAGTGCGGTTCGTGGGGACAAGAGAGGGCCTTCTTGGTGGTGGCCCCCGGCTTTGGAATGCTCTCCCCAGGGAGATTAGAGTAGCCGTCACTCTCCAAGACTTTCAAACCAATTTGAAAACTTGGCTCTTCAAACAGGCCTTTGACCTTGTTCAGGAATTCTTACTGACTATATTTGAGGATTAGTGTCATTTCACCTCGTACTTTATGGACTGATATTGATTGCAATTTGTTTATATCTGCAGCTACTGTTGCATTTTATTGATTTTTAACTAGCAGGATATCATTATTTTACGTAGCTATTGTTATTGTTATATAGGTTATGCATTTATTGTATTTTATGCGTTTGCACCTTGAGTGCATTTGCAAGCCACCCGAGTCCCTCTGGGGAGATGGTGGCGGGGTATAAATAAATAAATATAAAAGGAATGGAAGTGGTGCCAACTGGACCACAACACTTTAAATACAGAGAGCTTGTGGGGTTTTTTTTTTTTTTGGCCAAAATTATGTTGCAGAATATTTGGTCACATTTCCAGATAACAATTTCAATCATTACAAAGTTTATTTGGGGGGGGGGGGGGGGGGGGGGGAGCTGCCTAACCCTAGAGAATTCTGGCATAAATATTCAAAATATGTCCTAAGGGAAAAGTTTGACAACTACTTATACAAGCTACTAGACCTTTTTAACGAACTACTGGATTTAACAACGAGCTGAAATGCTGCATATACTTACTTTTCCACTGCTGATCGCTTTTGAGATTTACTCTTGTAATTTAATGCCATCTTGGTTTCCATTCCTGTATACACTGCAACACCTAAGAAAAACAACACATTTTAAGCACTTGGTGTTTACAACGTAAGGTGGTAAAAAGGAAGATGCTAATTTTATGATGATTGCCAGAACAAAGCTGTGGCAAAAGGTATCAAGTTTTTAGAAACACTGTAATGACCAAACAATAACTTCAGAACTGTAACACTTATTAGCACAGACTCTGCACTAAAGACAACAGAGTAAGTGCAATCCCTTTATATAAAATTGCTTTTACGACTCTCTAGAATGCACTACTCCACTGTTATGTTCTGAGCCAAAATTCAATTCAGACATAAAAAGCATTTCATGAACTGAAGTTCTCATACTCATTCACCACTACTAATGGGAGTTACTAATGAGCAACATCTGGAGGGCCACACTGCCCACATCTGCTCAAAGGGGAAGTTCTTTTCTCTAAAGAAAAGTTAAGAATTGTCAAATAACTGATAAAATATAATTGATAAATTATCACTACAAACCAAAAATTTCTTTTGTGTTTTTTAATCTTGCTCCACGAAGTAAAAGACTTTCGGGTCCAAGTGGTCTGGAAAAAGAATAAAAACAAGTTATGATCTACAAAACACAGCAACAGCTAATTTCTTTAAATGTTTGCGCCACCTAATCTAAAGGACCGACTACAGTGGGCCTGCTACATTTGGTCTGGTTTTGGGATCCAGTGCAGATATGAAAAAATGCAAATGATCAAGCCCCATATTATCAAGTAGTGGCGACATAAAAACTGATGCTTCAATATCCCTGCATTCACATCACTGCCACATCCATGGTTAATGGAAATCACAGATCTGGGGGCCAAAAACACAGAGGACTCAATAAAATTTAGTTTGTCCCATATGAGAATATACTATTACAATAAAACAAGATTTAGTATTTCCCAGAAAGCAAAAGCTAGAATTAGGTAGATGGGGATGCACTACAGGTTAAAGGTAAGTGGTTTCTTATTTTCATAAACAGTTAAAAAAATGTGACAGGCTGCCTTTGATGGACTACTATGCCCACAGGGTTATAGAGAACCTTTTGTACAGACACTGTATACCAGTAGAGGCTATTTTTTGAAAATAGAGGAAGAGCACTACTGACTTCAGCTTTTTCTTTTTGGTCTCCCAGAGGCCTCTAGCTGGCCTCCAGTGAAGTAAAATGCTAGCCTATGTCTACCTTTGCTCAAGCAATGCTTTTGTGTGTTTTAATTCTAGCATGCACACCTAAAAGACAATCTGCTTACTGAAACTAAGCAAAACAATATCCCTGCACATATTTCTAATTTTTTTGTAATGCTTGAGAATAATAATTTGTATCTGTAGCATCTAAATGCATGGTTCATATAATCACATGGCTATTTTCCTTGCTTTTCCTTTTTTTTTTTAAAGTAATTGTTATCTACAGAGAACTCTGTGTTCAATCATATCTAAAACTTAAAGAGATGAATTATCAGATAACCCATACTGTAACTCTCCCTTGTAAATAGGGTTTTGAGACTTCCCTGTTACTTCTGCTGGGAAGGATGAAAGTAAATGACTCCAAGTCTTACAGGTTAGGCTTTTAACACAGATGCACCTATGGTTCTTAATACAGATATAGTAGATAATATATTGAGAGGGGGAAATGTCAGTAAGTTGATGTCCCAAGTCAAATAAAGCTCTTAACAATGAGTATCCCCTCTCCCATCCCACTGACCCAAGCATTAATCCAGACAGAAAAAATATAAGGGAAAACTGTTCAGAATCATTGGCCTGCCACTGCTGAACTGTCTCTTACAAGAAAATATGAAAGAACAATATGCTTAGCATAAATAGAAGTGAGCATTTTTCTGGTGGCAAAGTATCCATGATAAACACTTATTGAAAACAGCTTCTATAAAATATGTTAAGGAGAAAGAACACCAAATCTTATAATAACTTCATGAATTAATGTAGGGTTTGAATCTTTTAAGAAATCCCAAAACAATGAGGATTGGCTCCAAGGCGAAGAGAAGTAAAGACATTTTATTAGTGGACTGACAGGCGTATGTATTTTATCAGCAGCAAATAAAAGCTGGTTTTGCAAGTTAGCTCAGTGTAAACTGGTCAAGCTGGTAGCTGACAAAGCAGGAATGAGTCAAAAGTTCCAGACATTTTGCCACAGTTTAAGCCATTTCTGGTATAACCTGTCACCTAATTAGCTCATAAAAATTAATCCAGCCCTCCCATATGAAGAGTATTCCAGTGCAAAGCTAACTTGTCATCCCCAAATGAGAGAAAATTATTTTGGGATGACAGGCGTATGGCAAGCAGGAACTAGAAAAGTTCATTACAACTCACTGCAAATATTTAAACTCCCTGTTCCCCAGCCATCTTAGCAATTGTTGCAGAAGCAGAAACAGCTACATGAAGCATATAAATAATTAAAGACTGTATTCATCCAGATGCAATTTCTGGTTTTTCTTTTCTTTTTGCCAAATCCTAGTCATACCCAGAATCACCTGGGAAAAATTCCAGTTTGAAGTACTGAGCTAGATGTTCAATGATCTGAATCCTACACAATAAAAATACTCCTGAAACCTGTGGGGAATTCTCCTACAAGCAAAGGAACCTTAAGATTCAGATGTATCTATTTAAAAAGTCTAATTTGTAAGATATGGAGTTCCATACCTCCCTCCCGCTCCCCCCCCCCCCAACACACACACCTTTCTTCTATCCATTCACTATAGTTTCTGCTTAGCTTCTTCACAGTCTGTCCTCCTTCAGTTCCCAATAACAATCCTGGTGGTCCCTCCAAATGCTCCCACCACTCCTTCCATATAAGCTTGCCTGAACTCCTGCTTTACAACTATTTGCTGAATCCACTTCAACAGATCTGTGATGTAAATACACTTTGCTCACCCTCATTCAACAGAAATCTTGTTAGTCCCCTCTTTCTCCTTTCTCAAAAGATAACAGTCAGATCATTTTTTCAAAAAAACAAAAAAGTGCAGCCACCAAGTAGCCCCACACGCCTGAATGTGGTCCCAGTCCAGTTGCAGTTGTCCACCCCAAATTATAATTACAACAAATGCCTTACCGGACTATTTCCTCAATTTGTTGACTTATTGTTATTCGCCCGACAAATCTGTAAAAGAAATTAATGAGTCAGAAGAATATGTTTCCAGGTTGGCAAATTATAATTTAAGAATATAGAAAGAAAAGCTATCTTTTGATTTATGCTAAAACACATGGCCAAAGGCAACAAATAATTCATTTTTGAATATAGTTAAGGTGATAAAAATAGCTAAAATGACCTCCTCAAAAGTCTATTACATGATACGACATATGGAAAATAAATATGCTTCATTAGCTACATACTATATATAGAGGCACCAATGCAATTTTGCTTATTGTGATAACACTTAGAGGTAAAGGTAAAAGTTTTCCCTGATATTAAGTCTAGTCGTGTCTGACTCTGGGGGTGGTGTTAATCTCCATTTTAAGCCGAAGAGCCGGCATTGTCCATGGACAGCTCCAAAGTCATGTGGCCAACATGACTGCATGAAGCGCCGTTACCTTCCTGCAGAAGGGGTACCTTTTATCTACTCACATCTGCATATTTCCAAACTACTAGGTTGGCAGAAGCTGGGGCTAACACCAGGAGGTCATCCTGCTTCCCGGATTCAAACTACCAACCTTTTGGTTAACAAGTTCAGCAGCTCAGTGGTTTAATCTGCTGTGCCACCAGGGGGCTGTGCTTATGCTTAGATATAAACAAATGGTTTGTCATTTTTCCTGGCATTTAGAGTATTATTTTGCTAAGTGTATGCTCAATTATGCATCTTTGGCTTCACACTGTGGGTAAAGTATATCAGTGAACCCAGATATATTTTTCCAGGGGAGACTCCAAGTTCAAGAAACAGAAAATTCACAATGACCTTCTCCCATGAAACAATGAGTCTGCCTAGGCTTCCAGGAGAAATCACAGAAAATTTGTCTGGAGAAGTGAGGATAAAGACCGAGCATCCCAAAACACTTTGTGGAAAGACCTGTTACCATATTCAAATTAATATGTACCAGATTTTTTTCACTTCAACTGTAACAAATCATCTTGAAGATTTAAATCCTAGAATTCTTTTGCAAAAGGGTATGATAATCAATTGACTTCATAACTACAATGAAAATATCTGCCCACAGAGCATCTCAAATTCATAATGTGGACCTTTCACCCACAGCTGAAGATTAGTTCAGCTGTGGGTAAAATGTGCTAACCTAGCTCAGAACACACGCAGGGAAGTTCAGATGTTGATCAGAAGCACATACAATTAACTTTCTGACAAAGAAATATTCCTATGTTAAGAAGGAGCTCAGAATGCTGTGGAAATCTGTATCAACACATTTCAATTTAGGGAAGCGCAAAAAGAAACTAGAAAGCTTTCTCATTATATATAATTGTAAATTATGAATGTTTGAAACAGAGGAATGTTGTATATGCTCTACCAGTGCAGAGCTCTCTACTCAGAACTTTATAATGAGAACTTCTGGAGCAATCTTAATTTACAGCAATATATTTTCAAAATCATGCACTTTGAACCGAAAAGTATAGAAGTAAAACCTGTAGAGATCTGCTTCTGGCTGTTGGCATTCTATAACAGCTACAAGCTTGTCCAGGTTGGCAACTGACTGCAATACTGCAGTTTCTGGGACTGCAACATGTGTCTTAAAGAGAAAGGAATATACACAGAAACATTACATTGGTCAGGAATGAGCAAAAAAATAAAATAAAATAAAAAGGCTRCTTRTGTCTTCTAARCAGCAACTAGAGCTGCCAGWTTACAAAACYCTTCATGTATTCTTAAWWAAAAAAAACCTTYTCTAAATTGCGTTTTAAATTTTCYAATATATCACCAAAGAGAAATAATTACTCMATGAACATATGGAACTATTAGTTAAGAAGTASTTTGCSAYATAACACAAKTTATTAYTATAGCCACTGTGTTYAGAGTTGCACCTCAAAAGAWGGGAGRTCAASGTTCAAATTACCTCTGAGTTATAACACTCAGTGATTCAGGGTTATCAAGGACTCTCAGCCTCATTTTCCTTAGAAAATTATTGTGAGGATAAAAATGAGGGTGAACCATGTACAGCATTTTTACCTCCTTAAAACTGGACATAATTGTAACAAATGTAATATTTGRTGYGCAGGCTGYCTGTATTGTTTTGCTTAAGTGTGCAAGAGAGCTTTATACYTYTKCACRTTATCAGACAGTCRGAATAGAACTCATATGCCACACTATTGAGCATGATAATAAAATATGATCAGCTTAACACAGCACACAGTAAATAGCAGTTTATTTACTGCCAAGCAAACATGTAAACTAGATCTAGCTTCCATGAGGTTGGTGTCATTTCAGGTCGCTGAAACCTACAAATGCAGTATGAATACATTACTGTAGCATGCCCCCAGGGTCTTGTCTTCCTGGTATGGCACTGCTCTATGCAGCAATCCAATTTAAATTCAAATCTGGCTATATGGGACCTGACAAGGCTATGGGCTTTTTTATTATGGACATCCAACACCAGTACTTTCACCCCATGAAGCCACTGCAGTCTACAAGCTCAATGCAATGGCCTGATGTAAATAAAACTCATCAAAGTATTCCTGTGAAAATGAAGAAAATATACACTGACTGCTCCTAGTTGTTACAACAGACATCTTTTAGTCTCACATTTTAATAAGTCAGAACTGAGCAAAAAGATCTCTGAAAATGTGATAAGGAATTCAAATGCATGCACATTTATACCACAGAATAGAGTGGGACTTGCAAACAATGTTGCATAGTATTCTTTGCCCCAAAACCTGTTAAGATTGTAAAGTACTCTAAATCTCAAAAACAGCTCCAAAGGAGCAATTAGGAGTAGTATTCTACTGAGTACTTAATGAAACAAAAGTAACAAAATAGATTGTAAAAGGAAATAACATTGAACAAAACAAACAAGAAGATAAAACTCAACTCTAAACGATTTCTAAGGACTTCTACACACAACTAAGAACTCATGCCTGGAATGACAAATTCCAGAATACGAATGCTGAAAACAGGTATACCAATTGTACGGAATTGCATGCAACCAATTATCTAGTTACTGATGTGTCCCTTAAGGCTGAGAACAAATTATACATCTTCCTTAAGAAGTGCAGCACATTTTGTGTCCTTAGGTCTATGCTGGGAATTTCCATATTAACGCCCTTCATTTATATAAGAGGAACTGAAAATGCATCTGTTTGAAACTAGTACTACTCAAAAGTAATGAAAACAGACCTTAAGATTTGTTTCTCCATCCAAACTTGCAGTAGTTACGTAACAAGAGCCATCGACTCTGTCAGATGACAGAAGTACAAGATCAACAGGGAAAGTTTCATCTTTGGCTACTCTGACAATATCTCCCACCTGAAAAGACAAAACAAAGATATGTATGCAAGCACTCATTTCTAAAGTGAGTTAGGGGACTTAAACATTAACATTAATACTAGGTAGGGCACAACTTGCTACTTCTATTGCCAAAATTGAGACTTCCACATTCTCCTGGAGCTCCATGCATTCTAAAAATCTGTTCAAGGTGCCCGAGAGAGCCTTTTTATCACCCTCCCAACACCCACAATAGCAGAGAAGGTTGAGACAGGCAGAAACTGGTGCAAGGGACTTAGCTATTGTATTTAGGCCACTGTTATTCTAATCCAGGAACCCCGGAGTTCCATCACTACTCAAATATGGTTTCTGAAACATTTTGCAGTACTAAGAAACATACCCGTATGTTTTTTGATCTAGTTTTTACAAGGCCACCGCTACGAACGACATATACTGGAGCTCCATTCACTTCATTGTCTGCTTTATGTCGCAACCAATCTTCATATCCCTGGAAATGATGAAAAATGGTAAAAAAGAAAGCTAATAACATACAGTTATACATACAGTTATATTAAAAAAGCATCTTACTATTCTATTTAGCCACATCATGAGAAGAAAGTAAAGCTTAGAGACGACAATTATGCTGGAGAAAATTGAAGGAAAAAGGAAGATAGGCCGACTAAGGGCAAGATGGATGGATGGCATCCTTGAAGTGACTGGATTGACCTTGAAGGAGCTGGGGGTGGTGACGGCCAACAGGGAGATCTGGCGTGGGTTGGTCCATGAGGTCACAAAGAGTCAGAAGCAACTGAACGAATGAACAACAACAACAACTATTCTATTTATATGATAAGGAAAACAAGAGTTTGTACACAACCTAATTTACTGAAGGGTACAATCAGCAAATTTGAAATAGGGCCTGAGAGCAGCAACTTTATCTTGCAGGTCAGTTTCAAAACAGATGGACTGAGGAAGGATTAACTTTGGATAAATATGTAATGGTAAATAGCTAGAATTATTGTCTTTATGCATCTTAAATTGAACAAGCAAAGGCAAAATACATAATTCAGACATTTATTGCAATTGATACTAATTGATGGTCTGTGTCTTCTCTAAAAGGGACACATAATGCATCAACCAATGTGATAAGATAACAAGTGTTGGAGTTTTTTCCTTGTGGAATTCTCCACAAAGCTCTTGTGAAGCTTTGCAGTCATCACTGCACTATAGCACTAAATGACATAGCTACTCAGGAAGAATGCTAGGCGCATCTGAAGGATTGCAGGACTCCCATTCCTGTACTAGGTTGTCTTCAAGGTTATATGCCGTTGTGTTGGATGAAGAGTCTTGACACATTTATACTCAGCACGTAACTTAGAGAAGGGCTCCCAAAGTAAGCGGAGGTGATATGAGAAATGCCTGCAGAAAGGTCACACAGCAGCAGAAGAAGCGGCAGGTGTCTAGCCTTCCCTCATGTACTATTAGCTTAGCTGAAGGTACCCAAGTGTGGCAGCTGTCACCAAGGCAACAAGCCTGAGATATCCTTGCTTCACTGGGTAGGAAGAATATGCAGCAGGCAAAGGTGCAGTGCCTTTAATCTTTTCAGGACAAGGGAACCGGATCGCATACAAGTCCTAAGCCTTTACATAGACTACAGAGACTTGGCAATATAAATAACAATTTAAAAAATACAACATGGAGCTTCACAGACTATGAAGAGATCTACACGTTAGCCTTTTAAAGCTCTCTTGTTTGATACAGTTATGTTGTTTTCCTTGGGAAGCTTCTATTGTAAAAAGGTATGAGACAAATGCATTGAACAAAAACAAAGGATGCATCCAGCCTTTAAATATGTTATAACATCTGTCAGTACATAAGGCACTCCAAGGCTCTTTTTAATGCCACCGTGCAAGAACTCACTCCTTTGGATGAGTGTGAGACCGCAGGAAAGAAGATGTTTATAATACAAACTGACATGCACTGCCCTAGCTCCCAAATTTGGTGTCAGTCTGTCACTGTCCACTTAAGGGTCTTCCTATGAGTGATTAAGTGCACGGCAGCCAGACCCAAACGTCTCTAGGCTGACCTGCTGATTTGAAACAGAAAACATATTTACTTCTTGTCAGCTAGAAGCTTCAGTCCAGTGGAATCTTTTGTCTTTCATAAAAGAAAAGAAGGGTGCAATGCAATGAAAAAGCTAGGATCTGGCTGCAATACAATACATGCAAGCAGCCCTCATTAAACCATAGCCAGATTGGTAGTCTACAAAGCATAAATTAGAAACGCAGGTCTGGAAACTGCTCTACTAACTGTCTACTTTTCTTGTTTGTTGCTATTATTCATTTCCTCATCACTACAAACTGTAAAAGTAATATGCACAGAACTGTATATTATATGGAAATAGGGAAGGTTAATATTTTGATAAAGAGTTAAGGTAAATACATACACTGACTCATGGATAAGTCAATCCAGGTCATTTCTATATTTATAGATACTCAGCAGTTTGATGTTTATTGTTGCTTTTGTATGTTTTACTTCTATTGCAGTGTTTAAGATGGAAAGCAATTTTGAATCCCAATTTTAGTAAATAGGTTAGGTATAAACAAAATTCGAAACAACATTCTGCCAAGTCACATCTCCTTACCTGCTTTATTGCAGTTACTGTTATTACAAAAAACAATGGTAATCCACTTGTAACTGGACTTGTAGGTGTATCTATCATAAGCTAGAGGGGAAAACAAAGATTGAGATAATGTTAGAATGAGAACAGTTTTGCAGCCAAAATTGTACATATGCAAGAGCCTACAATATCTAGGTTGTGATTGCCAATAGCCAAGTTTCAACAGGATCAGTTTCTCAATGTCACTGTGAATATGAGAAAAAGCTAGTTGCTTCCAAGAACCTCTGAAAGCCAGTGCAGCGAGGGAAGGTTCTAGAGTCTTGTTCCTAATGTCATGCTGTCCTTGGGAGAACTTAGAAAGCTGTGAGATGACGCTGCTTTCCAGTTGCCTCCAAAGCTTGGCAAGAAGCCCTTGTCCTGTCTGTGTTGAGGTCGCAACACCACTTGGTACTACCAAATTGGTATAAGCACACTGATGAATTCCCAGCCACACAACAGATATTGCAAAGCAGTGTTACAGAAAATGGCCCTCCTAATCACATTCTGTTCCACACAAAGTGAGAATGAAGGAAAGCTGCTGTAAATGAAGAAAAGTTTGGCAAGCCTGGTTAGAGCCAGCCAAACCCACTTGTGAAGGGAAGGGGAGCTGTGGGGATTAGAACATCAAATATTGTCCTTCGGAGAGACAAAGGCAGATTAAATACAGTTAGGGAGTCAGAAACAGAGGTTAGCTCTACACCAGGAAAGGGAAAACACTGGCTCTTCAGATGTTTTGGACTACAACTCCTACAATTCCTAAAAGCCGGTAGGCTGTTAGGAATTGTGGGAGTTGTAGTCCAAAACACCTGGAGGGCAAAAAGTTTGCCCATGCCTGCTCAACACTGTAGAATTAAGACTGCCTGAAACCTCTTTAACCTCCACAGTTCAATGCTATGGAATCTTCAAATTTATAGTTTGGTGGGGCATCACCACTCTTTAGCAGAGAAGGCTAAAGATCTCATAAAACTACAACCACCATGATTACACAGCACCGCACCATGGAAGTTAAAATGGTGTTCAAAGGCATTACTCTTACAGTTTACATGCTGCAGGAATGTGAGGATTCATTAGGAAGAAAGGAAGTCCCGAACTGGGTTTTGGGGACCTAAAAATGTGGGAAGTGTTAGTGACTTGCCAACTGGCTGAGAAAGGTGGTATACAAATACAGTAAATAAATAAATAGCTAGTTGGAAACAGAAGGCTTATGTGGTCTGTGTATGGAACTGACTGAAGTTCAATGTTTATCTTACTTGTTATATAATAAAATCTTCACTCTCTTTACTTACATATCTTGTATTGATGTTTTATTTTAAAAATTAACAAGCAACACCCATCATGCTTTAGTACACTGAACCCACTGATCAACATGATTACTTGTCTAGAACAATAGCCTGAATACTAGATCCAGGGGGAACATAAGGGTAACGGTGACTGATTGGAACTATGATTGGAAAAGGGTTGGAACTGTGGGGCCAACCTGGACTAGGATTCTATCACAGTTGCACTCCATCAAATTGCTCTTTATTATCTACAGCTTGCTAGACAGGAACCTTCTTCTACTTCAGATTTTTTATAAGACATGGATCAGGCAGCCACTCTGGGGGACTGACTCTAAATCTCCCCTTCTGCACAGAGAGGAGAACCCAAGGACCTTCTGGGAGATGGGCAGATACTGAACAAAATAACAGTATGACCAAGACGCCTGATGTTCCACAATGCTTATTAATGTACCTTAATCCTAGATAATAGATTAATTTTGCTCGTGTTGCAAAACAGGCAACTGCAATCTGTCGTATTACTAATGTTTTGCTAACTGCAGCAGAAAATATTAACAAGCTCTGTTGCTATCATTTTCCTGCTGCTAGAAGAAAAACACTACTTTACATGATGTGAAGCATGTGTTCAGAGTGGAGGGAGAGCAACTGAACGGCAATAATTCAGAAACTAACATTAATCCAAGGGGCTTATTAACTTTAAGAAGGATTTAACACATTTGGTAGGAAGCTGAAAGAATAGATTTTATGCAAGTACTCAAGAAGACCACACTCCTGTCCCAAAGATAAGTATCCAGCAGACAGTCCTAGAAGAGCAGAGTTTTAAGAGGAAACACTGGCAGTCAGTTGCCTTCTTTACAGTCTCAATTTCATGTGAAGATGTGCTACACTGTGCACAATATAGGTTTTAATGCCTGTTTACCTATTAGGCATCCATTTACAAATAAGAACGTAAATGGTATTTGGATTGCTCACAAGGCCATTCACACTTTTCCACAGCTTCAAGGGAAAAAATTCCTTGTGATCTGACTGGAAACACTTATAAATGAGCAGCTGTGTGTTTATATGTGCAAACAGACATGTAAAAGCGCAGGAGCAACATAGTGGGGCCAACTGAGTGATCTTTTTCCAAACTCATAATTCTTTCTCAGGAATTGCACCACAAGTAAGCAGTGGCCAATCACCAGAGCAAACACAATAAAAGGTTCTGTATCAAACAAGCGAGATTACTGGTCTGTACCTGCTTTTCAAAGTTTTCAAAAAGTTTCACCCTGAAACAACTGAGATAGTAAACTGCTGAAATGAAGGAAAAACCTTTGAAAAAGAAAGATATTGGATGAAACGTTTTGGTTTGCAAGTAACTATCTGCAGGTTGGTTTTTGCTTTAAATCATATCAGCAGTCCCAACCAGAGTAATCTCACTGCACCATGGAATTTACATACATATTACTTTGCCATTCAACAATTGATTCAGCAGATCTACTCTAGCTGGACTGCAAACAGATTCACAACAAGATCTGTATTTTTGTTTTAATCATATTCATGAAGCCTACTTGATTAACTGTTGACCAAAGAAAGATCCATGCTAAACTACTTCCAAGAAGGAGACAGTTGGAAATTGAATGACATATATACACTCAGCATGATTTCACAGGTGAAAAATGGAATATTACTGTTCGCCTATACTATTTTGAGTTTTGCTTGTCAGTTGAAAAATGTGAAACTTAAATTGCATTTTTTTGTTTGCTACATAATACATCTAGTGAAACGTTCAAGTTCAGACTAGTGAGGACACTGCCAAAGGGGACTGCACAGACAAGTTGGAACACCACATATGAATGTTACAGTTCAAATCAAGTAGTATTTGAGCACTGCATATTAAAAAGACTTTTGCGGCATGCCAGGATTCCCCTCCTAAATCTATTTTTAAACTGAAAGAGATTTCAGCAGAACTTGAGAAATTCAAAGAAACAAGCGGAGAGAAAAGTCTGATGAAGTGAGTCACAATTAATTTGATGTGACATCACAGCACACCGAGCTGTTCAGATTGATTAAGTGACTGCTTGGAAGGGAAGAAAAGGGACTTGTAAACATGAATAAGAACCTGATTTCCAGTTACTTTAGGATAGGGGTCTTCAAACTAAGGCCCGGGGGCTGGATATAGCCCTCCAAGGTCATTTACCTGGCCCTTGCCCAGGGTCACCGTAAGTCTGAAACCAGGGCCGTAGCCAGAAAAAAAATTCGGGGAGGGTTGACAATTTTGAGGGGGGGGGTTGAAAATTTCGGGGAGGGGGGTTGAAAATTTCGGGGAGGGGGGGGGTTGAAAATTGGGGGGGGGTTGAAACCTGCCTCCTAGCTCACGCTGAAGCAAAGAGAACAGCAGGGGGCAGAGCAACCTTCAATAGCCTGCAGCTCCACCCCTGTCAACCACCTCCACCAAGTCTGGCCTCCTTAATGAGAGCATTCAACACACACACAACTTGGTTGCTTCACTACATCGGCTATTGCTGCAAGTAATGACAGTGTGAATAAATTGTCAATATTTGCTTGAGATAGTGCTTACAGTTCTGGAGGGACTCTTAATTTTTTGCATCTCATAGACTTAGCATGGGGATTTGGTTAACCAGTTAAAATTCATGAGTAAACCAGGTTTTTTTAAAAATCTGAAACATTTCGGGGGGGGGGTTGAACCCCTAAAACCACCCCCTCGCTACAGGCCTGTCTGAAACGACTTGAAAGCATACAACAGCAACAACAATCCTATCTCATCAGCCAAAAGCACGCCCACACTTCCCATTGAAATACTAATAAGTTTATATTTGTTAAATCTGTTCATTTTAATTATTGTATTGTTTTTAAGTATTTTTGCACTACAAATAAGATATGTGCAGTGTGCATAGGAATTCATTCATTTTTTTTTCCAAATTATAATGGCCCTCCAATAGTTTGAGGGACTGCGACATGGCACTCTGTTTAAAAAGTTTGAGGACCCCTGCTTTAGGAAGTTTATTTTGCTGTTTTCCCCCTTTTAGCTTTTTTCCCCTGTACTAGTTCTTTTTACCAAAATGCATACAAAATTGATCTTTCTTACACAAGAAAATACTTGTGTCTCTCCATAATGCAGGAAGTTAGAATGATCTTGGGGGAAACCACATTTCCTTGGGGAAAGATTAAACGCAAACTGCCATTTGGGCCCATAGTAACCAGCCCTCTCCCCACCAGAGAGAAAGCTGGACAGTATTTGGAAGGGATACAAGAATAACAAGGAATTAACCCAAGCCCATGAACATCCATTTGAAAAAGGGGACAAATTCCTGCAAAAAAAAAAAAAATGTGGACAGCAGAAATGGCGGCCAACATGTTGATCTGTGCTGGCCCTGTTTGCATTTTCTAGATTTGGTGATGTATATATCTACAGTATGCACAGGAATTGTTGTTCCCTAATTCTTTAAACTTTTTCCCTAATTCTTTAAAGCTTCTCACAACAATTCTTTTTTACATAGAAGTTTTCATACTATACTGTTTCTGGCATTTTGAAAAAATGAAACTTTCTCTTAAAAAAGGATTTTACTCACTCTTAAGGAAAAAGATATTCCAAAGTTTTTTATGTTCCTCCAATATTAATTCATGTCCTCAAAAAAAAAGCAAAAACAACCCTCCCCCAATATTCCCCACTTTCTCCTGCCCTTTCAATCTCCAACTATATTTCATATTGCAGAGTTTTGACAACATTTTAATTCTCTAGGCAGCAAAACAAAAAATGTAGTCACCAAAAGTATTTGTACCCCCCCCCCCCCCCCAGACAATAGCTGAACTCTGAATTATGACATTGACTATTATGGGGAAGAAGAAGAGAGGACCAATCGCCTAAGTGACTAATAAACAACAGATGATACTCTAAGAGTTTCAGATCCCATCTGATCTGGGAAGCTAAGGAGCAGCAGCCCGGGTTAGTATTTGGATGACAGTCAAATAATATCAGGTGCTGTAGGCTATATTTCAGAGGAAGGAATTGACATAACCATCTCTGATTCTTCCTTGCCTAAGAAAACCTTATGAAATTTGTAGTATCGCCATTAGTCACCAGGTAACTTGAAGGCACATTAATATAGAAAGAGACGGATGTGTTTTGACTCTCAAGCTACTGCATGTGATACGGATGACGGCGCATACTGAAGGGGTTTTGAGAAATTCCCTATCAGATTACCAAACCAAACTAAAGGGATGCCCTCTTCTATTTTGACAGTGATGCTAATTCATGTCACCCTGCATTTATGTTTGAATGCTGAAGCCCGACAACTACGTCAGTTTTAAGACCCTTGTCTTTTTCCCATATGTGGGAAGTGTTGAGTGATAATATATAATAAGATAGCATGCCATTTCCAAAACAGCTTGAAGGAAACATGTTTTTAACACTGAATGCCAATGCTGTCCTTTGTGAGTTAGGCTAAGGCCACATAATTAAAGTGCTTTACAGTTCTCAATACCTTTCTTGTGAAACAGGCTAATCTAAAAGACACTGACATTTGCAATTAACTTCAGGGCTCAACAAGAATTGTGCATGACACTGCCTCTCCCCCAAATCAAGTAGAATGCGATTCACATTTATTGACCACTGATATTTAACTATAAATCTTTCACAAGTTTCTTCTACCTTCCCTCTAATTTATATTAATCATTTATTAAAAGAAAATGCACTTGCTCTACTGGTTTACAATGGGCTAGCATTTCCACTTTCCAAAATCTAAAGATCTGTTTTCTACATTTTGAACTTAGAATGGCTCTGAAGCCATAAAACCAAATCCTTATTAAATACTTATAAAACAGAAACCAGCAATCCAAACATATTTCACTCTTGATTTCAGTGATTTATGGTTCAAAAACATTTGGTTATCCAACTTACCTGAACCAAAAATATAATAAGAAAATAGAAGTTAGCTACTCTTCTGAACTGCTCAAATAAATTTTTTGGAACAAAATTCCACACAGTATACTGCAAGAGAAAGAAACATCAATTATTATAAGTGGAATTATGACACTCAATGGAAGGTAAGACATAAAACAACCCTTAATGAATTCTCATCTTCCCCACAATAAAATGAACCCAACAATATACAAGTATTTCAAATATATTATCTTGTCAAAATGCTTTTATCAGCTAACTCATTTCCATATATTTATCATATGTTAAGGGGGAAAGTGCTGAGACAGAGCCAGAAAAGAAATCAAGAATTCAGTTTTCACATCCAGCTTCTGGACACCAAAAAGCTAGGGAATGACTTTTTTCATTTTTATTCAGGTAAACATCAATGACTACTATTGTATGAAACCACCTAATATTTTGACTTAATGCCAGTGAGTTTCACACAACCCTATTAAAATAATAGTTGTTGTTGTGTGCCTAAAAGTCATTTCTAATCTAAGGCAGTCCTAAAGTGAAATTATCGTGGGTTTGTCTTAGTTTGCCATGTCTTCCTTTGAGGCTCCGAGAGTGTGACTTAACAACACTACATTTTCTTTTAGCATTTTACAAGTGTGCTTATTTCAATTGGCTTTCTTGCAGCAGGTTTCAGTATTAGAACATCTCCCACACAGCTCAGATATCATGGTCTGTCAGGAGCTTAATCATGTTAATTACTTAAGTCAAGGATGTAGAACTTATGGCTCTTTTTAATTACACCTTACTGTTAGTCATGCTGACTGAATCTGATGGAAGTCCAACAACATATAGAAGGGCACAAGATTGCCAATGGCCCGGGATGCCTTCCTTGCTTGCCAGGTGCTATCAAAATGTCATACAAGGTAAAGTCACCAACAGGATTTCAATTACTTCTATGCAACACTTGCTATCATAACATCCAATGAACTGTATATATATATCTGTGTGAGGGAGGGAGTGCTATTTATCATCTTATAATCTCAACATATACATATATACACCTCCTATTCAAAAAAACAGAGGATGACAATAAGGTATTTTTTTAAAAAAGAACATTCTATATTTTAACAAGGGATTTCAGGATTGGCGTGTTACAATAACAGTTGCCTGTGCAAAGTGACACATCAGTGAACAAATATGGCTAGCTGTAGATGCTAGATCTGAGTTTGAGTAAGGTTACTGTTTTTTTAAAAAAAATCTGGAATGTCAAAGCATGTCAAGTCAAAGCCTAGCTTTATTTAGCACACTTCAGAAAGCAAGCATGCAGGTATTAAGGTCTGTCTTACCTTAGAGGAGATGATCCTGTTTTCTGCAAATTTCTGAGGAACATAATGGCCATGCTGGGGAAAACGATTTGCAATATAAATAGTTCGATTATCACTTTGATGTGGTGGGTCAAAACCCTGAAAGAAAGAAAAAAACAAACTCTAGGTTACCTTTTCTCACAACATTTTCACCAAGCCTTTAATGTCCACAATGTTGTAAGTTCACACTTAAATCTCACAATGAAATATCAAGAAAACAGGTTGAAGAGGAGAAAACTACCTTCTTCAAGGACAACTGGAGACTTTCAGTGCTGACTTTGGGCACGAACTTTGAATAGTGCATCTACTACTCCAACACACTTTTCATAAAGCTATCAATATTTTGGCAATTTTCAACTACTTATTTCTTTATCCTAATTTACAAAAATGTACTGAAGGATTCCTAGAATGCTTTTAAGCATATATATAGTCATTAAAGTATAATTTTAAAATATAGTGTGTGTCCTAGGCTTGGACCGCAGTAGAGAAAAGAGATCACTATTTATACAACTGCCACAAGGTATTCAAATATTAGAAGGCCTTATGGTTTGCAGGTACGATTTCTTGCCAAAACAGATAAAAAGCATCTAGGATGACTGTGCGTATTATAAAGAGGAAAGAGAAGTGCAAACAAATAAGAGTTTGGTTAGGATACTCCCAGAATCCTTCAGTTCACATGGCCACCAGCTATGGAATACTGGGAGAGCTAATCCAAATTAATCATACTTTTTGAACCCTTGAGCAGAAAATACAAGTCAGAATACCTTTTTCTATAATAATGAAAGGAACAGCTGGGATTTCAATAGATTTCATGTACAATAGGAAATAAGACTTAGATGTGTGAGACTCAGGTATCCCATGCCCTGATCAGGCAGTTTTGAGAAATGTTGCCCAGCTCTGAAACTATGGATTTAATTTTCTGCTTCTGAATTTACCTTGGGATGGAGGTGGAGGGATCTAGCAACAGGATGAGGGGATAACTGTGGAAGTGGGAAGAGACTGAAATCTTCTTCCCTGTCTGCCTCATACACTAATTTTTAGCACAAAACCACATATGCCTTCATCCATATAAAGACATAACAAGAGAATTTTAGAATTGGAAGAGACTATAAGGGCCAGCCAGACAATGGATATCTGGCCTGTCATCTCCCGTTGCCTGCTTAAAGAGGTCTTACTGCAAATCTAAGTCAACCTGATTTTTAAGATCAAGTCAGGGGGTGCTGTGGTTTTTAGCTTTATGTTTTTACGGATTTTAACTGTGAATTTTTAAATACCATTTATATTAAATTCTGTTTTAATGTTTGCTTATTTTTAGACCTTAAATTGCACTGAAATGCTGTAATGTCAGCTGCTTTGAGTCGCCTTGTGGAGAGAAAAAGCAGGGTATAAATCAGTGGTTCTCAACCAGTGGTCCGTGGACCACCAGTGGTCCTCAAAAACTAAAATATGGTCCACGACTTCACCATTACTACACCGTTGCAATGAGAGTGACTGGTCTAATGAAACCCTCTTATAGTGTCGAGGCTTATTAATTATGGTTTTCTGTGGGCGAGCAGATGGTGACTATTGAATGGCATATGTTCTGTATCAGAAACTTGAGCTGATGTGGTCTATCCAATGCAAATTTCTGAATCAGCACCACAAAAACCAAACCAAATCTAAACTTGCCCAAAAACTGATTTGTAACTCTTTTGGTACAAATGTTGGAGAGTAGTTCCTGGTCAAAGTGGTCCTTGGTCAAAAAAAGGTTGGGAACCACTGGTATAAATAAACATATTAATAATAAATAACCAGAGTGACAAAAGCATCTGCTGCAACCCAGCTTCTTTTATTCCTCATGTCTCCTGGCCAGCAGCTGATTTCCAGGAATTACCAGTTTCTCACAACAAACTTCACAACAACACAGCTCACAGAAGGTTTAGTGGATATTTCCTCATTTTATTTTAAATCTTGCTACTTCTGGCTTTCATGGGAGCAGAGAGTCAAATAAGAGTCCTCCCACTATATCTGAAAAAAGAGCCCAGTTATCTACTAGATAAGGCTGCACCATGACTAACATAGAACACCAAGGTTAGGCTTTATCTTGCCCACTTGATCATGCACAGCTTTGTCCAAACATATCATTAACAGCTGACTATAACATTGGTGCTGTGGAAAGAGAGGTTCTGGGAACTAACACTGATCCCTACTTTATCTAACTTTCTTGAAACACGTGCAAAACTCACTGGTAAGTGGGTAAAGGGAAGACATGTTTTTCATACTCATTTCCAGTTTGCTGTTCCACTGAAAACCCATATCTATTGGACCAATCTTCTCATTGCAGACTCAGCTGCTTGAAAAAAGCAGCACAATATATGAAGTTTCTTAATGAAAGGCTATGCAAAATTATGGAAATTGATTTCAGAACACATTCCTCTTGAAATGTAGGTGTAACATAGGCATAATAGATTTCCTTGGCAGATTTTCTTATTTAGATGCTTTTCTTAATGATTACAGAAACTATCATCACATAGGCCAGCTAAGCCAACAGAATCCAACTAGTTTGCTTAAGTCTTTATTTTATAATTCTACCAATGCTGTTTGTTTACTGGGAAAGTGTTTACATTGAATTAATAAATGATAGGCTCAGCATATTGCAAATAAAATAAAATAAAAGCACATACAGTAGCCCTCTGTATACATGGATTCTGTATCCACAGATTCCATCAATTGTAAGCCACTTACAATTGATGGAATCTTCTCCAGGAGAGATAAATAACAATAAGCCATAACTTGAAATCATTTTTAAATATCTAAAACATCTACAAGACAAACCATGATTTTGCCCTTTTACATTAATACGCCATTGTATATAACAGGACTTGAGCACTGACAGATTTTGGTATCCACGGGAGGTCCTAGAATCAAACTATTGGATACCAAGATCCCACTGCATACTATTAACACAGCAAGCCAGAGAAGGGCATTCACAGGAAAAACACATTCTGAACAAATAATGCTGAAAACCTTGTCAGACAGTCAACGTGTAATGAATTGAATTAGTACAAGTCTCTGCAGAGAAATTAGCATCTTCCCCTCTACAGAATGTGCAAGAAGCAATAGTAGTCTCAAGGACATTTCTCCATGTCTAGCATCTGCATTTGAGTGGTGGTAGCATTAGGAGCCGCTACCAAACAAAACATCAGTGAACATAGCTGTTTTGCAAATGTACACAACTTGCACTGGTGGGACAGATAAGAATGAAGAGCTAATGTTAAAATACCAGCTGAGGACTACATCTTGCAGTCTAAATCTAACTTACATTGGAATGGGAGTCCTAGGAGCTTTGAGGGCTGGAAGGTGCTCAATGGGTTCCTCATTCCCCATGCCAGCATAAATAGAATGGCAGCTCTTGATTGAGTAGACTCATTGGAAATAACTGGACCTGTTACTCCAAATACCATAAATTCCCTTTATCACAATGGGCCTACTCTAAATTGAATTAGCCTAATATCACCACTAAAAAAAAGCCCAGTGATTATACAGGATCCCTTATTTTCCATACTAATTATAACTAGAGAGTTAAGAGTTGGAAGATACAGTGGGATGCTACACAGTGTCATTTTCAAATTGTGAACATGAAATACAATGCCCAATTTGGGCATTAAAACTGAGGGACCAAAAGAAGGAATTCTACACAACTCAACAGAATTTTTTTCTACGGCATGGTGAGCTGAAATAAGTTTGGAGCTTCCTTGGACTGATTAGTTATCTGCATTACCCAGGATCTAAACTTGACTTTTAGAGGTTGTAACAGCATCTGTAAACCTTCTCAAAGTCAACTATTATTGAACACACTGAAACTACAACATTGTCATGTTACCAGTGTGAAGAAACTGGGAATCAGTAAATTATTCAAGAGGCAAATCTCTTTGTTTATAAGCTTAAGCAAAATTCCTGTTATATGAAGCATTCATCATCAAGTTAAGATACAAGTTTTTTATTACATTTGATAAGTGATAGGGGATAGTATGAGATAATCTTCACTGATGCGAAGTAATTTCAAAAAGCTAACTTCTAATAGAGCCAGGAATTTTGCTCTATAATTAATCTGCAGTTTATGAGAAGACTAAAACTATCAGCAAAGGATCACCGCCTTGTCGGGGCGCTGGAGCTTGAGCACCTCAATGATGTCATGAGCGAAACTGTGAAGGGCCACCCAAGACGGGACGGTTGTGGCAGAGAGGTCAGACCAAGCGTGATCCCTGGGGAAGGCAATGGCAAACCACTCCAGTATCCTTGCCAAGAAAACTAAATGGACCAGTACAACCAGAGATATGTCGGTATGCCATTGCAAGATGGGACTCCCAGGTCGGAAGATGGCCAAAATGCTACTGGGGAGGAGCAGAGGATAAGTTCAACTAGCCCCAAATGTGATGACGCAGCTAGCTCAAAGCCGAAAGGAAGGCTAGCGGCCGACGGTACTGGAGGTGAACGCCGAATCCGATGCTCTAAAGATCAACACACCATAGGAACCTGGAATGTAAGATCTATGAGCCAGGGCAAATTGGATGTTGTTATTGTTGAGATGTCAAGACTAAAGATAGACATTCTGGGGGTCAGCGAACTGAAATGGACTGGAATGGGCCACTTCACATCAGATGACCACCAGATCTACTACTGCGGACAAGAGGAACATCGAAGAAATGGAGTAGCCTTCATAATTAATAAGAAATTCGCTAAAGCGGTTCTTGGATACAACCCAAAAAATGACAGAATGATCTCAATTCGAGTGCAAGGAAAGCCTTTCAACATTACAGTGATCGAAATATATGCCCCAACCACAGCTGCTGAAGAAGCAGAAGTAGATCAGTTCTATGAGGATCTGCAGGACCTACTGGATAATACACCAAAAAGAGACATTATTTTCATTACAGGAGACTGGAATGCCAAGGTGGGAAGTCAAATGACAACTGGGATCACAGGCAAGCATGGTCTGGGAGAACAAAATGAAGCGGGACGCAGACTGATAGAATTTTGCCAGGAAAACTCGCTGTGTATAACAAACACTCTCTTCCAACAACCTAAAAGACGGCTTTACACATGGACTTCACCAGATG